TTTTTTTTTCAATTTAATTTTTTTTAATTTAGGTATGAACACTATTGGATTTGCAATATCTATATCTACAAAAAGACAAATTATATTCACCATTTGATCAAGATATTGCTTATTATGAATAATATCACTTGTTCATTATCAAGCATTTTTGTCGAATCCATCTAGGACATAGGATCACATGTAGTCAGTGAATACATACAACCCCGTATAACTATGAAATTGACGGAGAATTGAAAGTAAGGTAGAGAGAGATGACTGAAAATTATTGGTAGATACCATAGAAAGCGTATAATAAAAGTGTGATCTCTGGAAAGTCGAAGACTGGCTCTTTCATAAAAATACCTTAACCTCACTAGAAAGAGAGAGGACCCAAGAAGGGAGAGACAGATTGTTCCTGGAATGTGAGACTCATCTCCTCTCTTTTTTATCTTCCTTCTTTTTCCTCCACTTTTATACATAAGGGACAATTAATCATAAAATAATGAATACAAAGTCTCTTGTTTTGTCAGCAAGCTCCCTCTGACAACCTTGATGGGAAGGTTTTAATGTAAACAAGATCTACACATAGGGTGTAATCTGATGTCAACGGTGTGATGGCCGTTCTTTAGGCTTAGGCAAGAAATTTGGCCTCAAAAGTCACATGATGCATTAAATGTTGAACAGACAGATATTTCTTGCTAGATTCAAGTGTCATGTATCCACTTTTGTGGATTGGCTTGATTCATCTGCTACGACTGGTAGGCATGATTTGGCCACTTCAGCTAGTGGGCTTAACTTAGATTTTTGGCTAGTTGGCCCGATTCAGCCACTTCGGCTAGTGAATTTGATTTTGGTTAATAAATAAAACAATAATTCAAAAATCACCGTGATATGATATTTGTGCATACAATTTTTATTGGTTGGTGTGTCCACACTAGCATGAGAATAAGATCAACAATAATTTCTCACCAAAGTAAGACTATTTTTAGTATATTCCCTATTGATAAAACTCTGTGTAACTCATAAAATATTTAAGTATGTTTTATTATTATTCCTTATTTTTTTGGTTATTTGAGATGCATAAAATATTCATGTAGGTTTTATTATTATTTCTTTTTTTTTTTTTTTGGTCATTTGAGATGTTTTGAATTGTAATTGCACTATTTTCAATTGTTGAATGACTCTATATTTGATGATCCTACTTACTCCATTTAAAATGTGGACTATCCAAACTACTTCTTGTTGTACGTTGACTTCCAAGTCATTCAAGTCACCCTTTAATATTTAGAAGGATGGTTTTACTATTTCCCTTCAACCACCCACCAATTCCAAATCATGTAAGCAACTCCATATTAATTAAAGTTTGTTAAATTTTATATATATATATATATATCATCCTATACATCTGTATCGAATCTATAACCGTTATTAAAAAAACTATTTCCTATTATATATTTTTAGGACCAACTATTTAAGCTAAAAATAATTAAATTAATGACTAAAATCAATTACAAATTACTTCATCTACAACCAAATCAAATCCATTACATTAAAATATAATCCTATTTAATTCAACTTAAAAATAACTTAATGTATTGCACTCAACATCAAGCAACTTAGTTAATCAACAGTCAAATCCATCAAATGCCCTCCTTTTCATCATTCACAAAATTAAACTCATTTACCCACAGTCAAAAGTCAAAGCACAGAAACTCTTCCGCTCATCGGTAATAGAACAGACAAAACAAAACAAAAAACAAAAAGGAAACAAAAGCATACATCCTCTCAGCTATTACCCACAAAACAGAAAGAAGAAGCAATCAATAAATCAATAAATCAATAAAAAATCTCTCCTTTCCCCTCTGAAAACCTCTGAAACTGATGCAATCGCCATAACACTCACCGCAGAGCGAGTAAGCCAGATGTACAGAGCGCAGGGAAGCAGCGCATTCACCGCGAAGAGATAATTACTGTGAGAAAGTTGAGAGCTTTTTTAAACGCAGATAAGACACCAAGAAAGAGACCTCACGACGAGAAACAATAAATACCCGTTGGATTGCCCAATGCTTTCTCTCATGGCAGGGTTGCCCCTGTTTTTAATTCTTTCTTCTGTTTGTTTTGGCTTTTGTTAGCTACGCCCTGCTGCGTCTCAAAGATGCTGAAACTCTGATGTTGTTTCAGACTTCCATACTAAGCGCAGCGAGTGAGAGCAATGGGGAGGACGGAGAGAGAGGGTGAGAGAGATGAGAGAGTGAAAGGTTTGTCTTTTGCAAGATAACACTGAAAACCATGAAGCTTATCACATGGAGACTTTTATTGTGTGGACAGCAGAGCGTAATTTAAGAAAATATTATTTTCAACCACAAGAGTCAGAGCCATATCTGCAACCTTCATGACTAAAAAAAAAGGCTTAATGAGTTGATGATAGTTTTATATATTGTTATATAATCATAAGATATTGTAATTTTATATTTTTACATTTTTATTTTATGTTAGTGCTATTATATTTAGATTTTATTTTAGATAGGGGTTTCCCTCTCTGTCTCCCTCTTCAAAACTTTAGTGCCACCAACTGTATCAAACGACAGTCATCCCTCTACTGGATTTGGGTCTGTTCCCACTTTCCTGTTACATCAATTTCCACGCACTCTCTTGGAAGAAGCGCCCAGAAATGAAAAAATTATTGGCATTATAAAAAGATAATTGTTTTATATTTTGAAACATTTTTCAGTATATCTATGAAAATTAAGTCAATAATCTACCTTCTAATTTGTTACTCTTTTTGTATATAATAACTAAATTGTTTATATGATTTAAACAAATAAGATGATATTTTAGAATAGGCTATAAAATTATTTTAAAATGTCTTATAATTTATACTATATAAATTATTGTTTTTAATAAATAATTTTTAAAATATTCTGATATATTTTTATATCTTAATAATTATTGACAGAGTTTTAAAAGTCATTAAATACAACAAAACTATCTCTTTCATTCTCAATAATTTATCAAAATTTTAATGAATTAACATCAACAAATACAATGACATAAATTTCCCAATTCAATTTAAATTATTTTGTGTTGATTTTCCAAGTAATAAAAAATTAAATGGACCATAAAAACATTCTTAAATCTAAATTAAATTCTCAGAAGTCAAGTCAAGTATTGGTAAACAGACTGAGAGTCATATTAGACAATTAACAAATAAAATAAAGGCAACATAAATCTGCACTGCACGCATCATCATATAATCAGCCTAAAATAGTTTATGTCCCTATGGGAGACTTTGTATTTTTAAATATATTAGCTCATTAATGGACCGAAGAGCCTTTACACTTGGCTTGGTGGATAGGGTGAAAGAAGAACAGCTTCACAGACTTTAACTTTTTCCCAATTGAATTGCCGACAAGCATTGACATGAACCAAAAGGCTTAACACATCAGCATCATCATCACAAACCCACTGCCTTCACCCCTTCATCTAATCTCTACATTATATTTATATGAGGAAGAATTTTTTTTTTCCATCTAATCTCTACATTATATTTATATGAGGAAGAAAAAATTTTTTTTCCTGAACAAAACTGTGTTGATTTATTTCTCATTTCAACACATTTTTGACAAAGTGTATTAATTACTGCTATATTTAATGAATTCGAAGAGAGTCATCATTCATTTTTATAAAGTATCAATTAAAGTTTGTTTGATGAAGATTTATGCGAGTTGAGTTCATGTATAGTCTGATGCAAATTGAAAATTTTGGATATAAACATGTAATAGAATACAAAATGTGTTTTAGTTAATCTAAGCAGGCTCTTTAACAAGGATTATTATGTCTATGAACCGCATGTTCGGACAATGGTGATGTCTTGACAGATTATTGTGCATTTCTTATAGGCAAATCATCGCCGTTGGATGAAAAACGGACGTAATAATTTCACATTAAGCACATCACTTTCAATTTTTAATTAAGAAAAATGAAGAGATAGTTGAGGCCAACAATAACAAAGATTTCATTCGAATCTCAACTTTAAGCAGCCAATTACCAAATACTTACATAAAGAAAAACCAAAAGAAAAGGAAAAACCTAAAGTTTGAAAGGAGGCACCTTTGGCCACAACTGTTGCTCTCCATCTCCACCATCTACAACCGTGGTGACCGCCGCCTTTGACCTCCGCCGCTGCTGGCAATCATGACAAGTAATTTGGAGAAGTATTGCATTTATTTGTCGCGCGGCGGCGGCTCGCAAAGCGCAGGCTTTTTCGAATTCAACCCGTGCTTGCTGCCGTATTCGCTGAGCGGCGGCGAGCTCTTTCTCTGCCATCTGCACCTGCCGCCGGGCTTCATCCGACGCGGTCATTGCGGAGAGGATTTTGTCTTCGATATGCGTTCGCCGAGGGAGTGGAGGGCCGATGGAGAGGTCGAGTTCGGTGGATGGAGGAGGGAGAAGGTGAGGAAGGTGGAAGTTTTGTGAGGATGGTGGTGAGAGGAATGCAAATTTGGGGTATGGAGGTGGGGGAGGAGGGTGTGGAGCGGGCGGGGTGTCGGTGGAGGGGGTTGGGCTGGAAATGGGGTGGGAGAGGGAGGTTAGTTGCTGAGAAGTGCAGGGTTCGGATCGGCGGCGGCCTGTGCTGCAGCTGTCTTGGTGTTCGATGAAGGTTTCCACTCTGTTAGAAATCAAAATCATGTGAATTGAAGAAGAAAGGGTTGTTGCTTGTTCAAAGATTCTGAATTTAGAACATGCTTCATGCATGAATTATAAGATAGATTTATTTTAACGAAAAGAATATTTTAAAATGTCTTAGAAAATATCGCTCTCAGTTATTTAATTGGAGAACTTATGTCTTAATCAGAGTTAGGAAAATCATGTAAGAAAGGTTTTTTCTTTAATTTTTATTTTTTTTATAGGTAGCAAACTAGGTGTAGAGCTAGTTCTAGGGTTTTGAAAGAGTCCGGAAAACTGAATGGACTGCAGGAACAGAAAGAAGAAATCAGAGTCCAAAATGTTGCAAATTAATCGTCTGGAATATATATATGCGTTCCAACTCTTCACAAACCAACCTACTCAAGACATGAACTCATCATCACCACAAACTTCTAAAAATCCAATATTTCTACAAAATACAGCATCAAAGTCATAAAAAAAATCAAATTTTGATCAAAACCAAAGACAAAAGATAATAAATCTCATCAAACCTCCAAAAATAAGAAAATAAAAAAAATCAAAAAATAAAAACCAGAGAAAATCAAAAACCTGGAGAAAACGCGGCCGCAATCACACGAATGTCCCCTTGTCCCGCAAGTCTTAAGATGAGCCTTATAATCCGAATGAACCGCATAAGCTTTACAACAGCGATCGCAGGCCCACTGCTTATTCGCCGAGTGCTTTCGCCTGAAATGTTTCTTAATCCCAACGAGATCGCCCAGCGCGTGACACGGATCATGGTGCAAGCAACTCGGCTCAGGGCAAACAAACACCCTCTTTTTCGCCACCGGCTCCACCGTCGACTCCCTCTTCAACAGCTTCCACGGAACCTTATGCCGGCGGCGATGCATTTGCAGGTTCTGGTCTCGCTGGAATCCCTGGTTGCAGATCTCGCACACATAACGGTCGGATTCCAGGAGCGTTCTCGGTGACAAGGAGACGACCTCAGCATCCGGGTCTGCATAATAAAAAACTGATTTTTGAAACTGAATCGATTGGGATTTTATGTAGAACATAGATAACATAAAACCAGATATGTACCAGGGGTGCCGGCCGGCCGGCGTTTCTTTTTGGTAATAATGGGTTCGGACTGAGCCGGCGGGAGTGGGGAAGAAGATATGGTGAACATTGGGTGAGATCTGGATGTGGAAAATAACAGTGAGCGGAGGGAGGCGGAGAAAGGTGGAAGAAGAAGATGGGAAGAAGAGGAGAACAGGGCTCCCACAGTTCTGTCTCCTAATTTCTATATGGAAAGCTAGGCCTTTCTAAGGTTTTTGGTACCGGTTTGTGGTGCAGAGGTGGGCTGTCTCCCATGAGAGAATGGAAGGCAGCTTTCTAACAGCCATTTAAGCTCAACTGCTCATTGTTTTGGGTTTTTTCAGGAGTGGGGCGGGTGAGGGTGAGGGTGAGGGTGAGGGTGAGGATGTGTGAGGCGTTCAGCGACCGGAATACATTTCAACTGTACAGCAAATAATTAAAGGGAGATTGTATGGGAAGAGAGGGAAAGGTCTCAGGCTAAGCGATTGTATTACTTTTCTACCAGCCTGCAATAAAACTTCGATTTTTTTATTTTTTATTTTTTTTGAACAATTACAGGGTAATAAAATTATATCGATTTAAAAAGCTCATTGAAATGATTAGTTATTAGATAAATAAATTTATCATTATTTGATCAAAATTTTGCTTTGCATATGGCATCCCTAATAGAAGTTTATAATTCAATCGACCTTCTTAATATTTACATTAAATTTTTGTTTTCAGTTTCCCCTTTTAGCATAATAAAATAGAACATCAATTTCAAGATTCTTCCAAAATCAATCATGACTATGATCATTTGACCATCACACTAGACTATGATCGCATGACAATCATTATCGGGCTATGATCATCTGATCATAGCCACCCGATCACCATCTCAACCATCATCTCTCGACTGAGGTCTCTGAACATTGTCCCTTGATTTTTGTGAGTGTATAACCATCATTGTTTAACTATAATCTCTTTACAATTATTGTTTAAATACACCAATGCGTGTCAATTTTTTTATATGTCCTCGGCTATAAATTTGATACATACTTTGTCTATAACGATAATGCACATCATCGACATACAAAATGATCGATGCACATTATTAACAACATCAAAGTCTGCTACTTTTGCCTCATTTCACCACCAATAGCACTTATGCACACCATGAATCATTAATAAAGCTGATATAAGCCGTCAGCACCAATTCCGACTCTAGATGTCAAAACCAATATTTAGATGGGATATTTTTGGTTTTTGAATCTCTGAAGAGAATGACGAATCAGACAATACATAATCTCCCAAGTTTCTCACCACCATCATGAGATTTATCCTACAATTTATATCTATCATATCGTGGCAATATCTTTCTCATTTGTAAAAAAAAGTTGACATTTGCGACTGATGAAGTTAGTTAGTGGAATGATTTCAACGGTTGGTGTGTTCGTGCCTTATAATTTCTTCATTCTGAGTTTTTCAAAATAAAATATTATTGTGTTTTGCAACTCTTTTTTATCTATATCTGACCTAATTCTTCATAGAATATTAATACATTAAACACTCTCTCTATAAAATTGAATACTATAGATGTATACAAAAACGTGCATGCCAACACAAATCTCAAGCAGATCTGACGACGCATACAGAACAAGGCATGTCAAAGGAGGGTCTACCGATAGATAACTGAAAAGCCCAATTGTCCGATTGGAAGCATCTAGCTCAAGATTAACCAAGGCAATTGAGTGGCTCAAACCTAAGTGGTTTGACCAAAAGTGAAGTGTTGGAAAATTCAAGCCATTCCCCATGATAAAATCAACCGAAGGGGAAATCTTAACCCATTTAGTCAGACAAATTCCATTGGAGGCATCCAATAGCCTCCCGAAACATTATCGAGAATTAGTAATACAAGTCTCAACCATCTCTTAAGGTCTTTTCGTCTAAGAGGTGTCATCTATCCTATTACGATGATTTACCCTCTACCTGATAACTTAGTTCTACTCTGTTGACAAAAGCTCTTTGTCAATGATCAAAGTTCGACTTCCAGCCTTGACTAACCAATTGACATAACTTAGCGGACTGAGTCAATGTTGTCAATCATTTACTAGTAAAAGTCTAGCCAACCAGCAACATCAAGTCTGAAATCGACCTTCTTAATATTTACATTAAATTTTTGTTCATTTTCCCCTTTTAGTATGATAAAAAAGAACTTCAACTTCAAGATTCTTCCAACATCAATCATGACTATGATCATTTGACCATCACACTCGACTATGATCGCATGACCATCATTATCGGGCTATGATCATCTGGTCATAGCCACCCGACCACCATCTCAACCATCATCTCTCAACTATGGTCTCTGAATATTGTCCCTTGATTTTTATGTGTATAACCATCATTGTTTAATTATAATCTCTTTACAATTATTGTTTAAATACACCAATGCGTGTCAATTTTTTTATATGTCCTCGGCTATAAATTTGATACATACTTTGTCTATAACGATAATGCACATCATCGACATACAAAATGATCGATGCACATTATTAACAACATCAAAGTCTGCTACTTTTGCCTCATTTCACCACCAATAGCACTTATGCACACCATGAATCATTAATAAAGCTGATATAAGCCGTCAGCACCAATTCCGACTCTAGATGTCAAAACCAATATTTAGATGGGATATTTTTGGTTTTTGAATCTCTGAAGAGAATGACGAATCAGACAATACATAATCTCCCAAGTTTCTCACAACCACCATCATGAGATTTATCCTACAATTTATGTCTATCATATCGTGGCAACATCTTTCTCATTTGTAAAAAAAGTTGACATTTGCAACTGATAAAGTTAGTTAGTGGAATGATTTCAACGGTTCGTGCCTTATAATTTCTTCATTCTGAGTTTTTCAAAATAAAATATTATTGTGTTTTGCAACTCTTTTTTATCTATATCTGACCTAATTCTTCATAGAATATTAATACATTAAACACTCTCTCTATAAAATTGAATACTATAGATGTATACAAAAACGTGCATGCCAACACAAATCTCAAGCAGATCTGACGACGCATACAGAACAAGGCATGTCAAAGGAGGGTCTACCGATAGATAACTGAAAAGCCCAATTGTCCGATTGGAAGCATCTAGCTCAAGATTAACCAAGGCAATTGAGTGGCTCAAACCTAAGTGGTTTGACCAAAAGTGAAGTGTTGGAAAATTCAAGCCATTCCCCATGATAAAATCAACCGAAGGGGAAATCTTAACCCATTTAGTCAGACAAATTCCATTGGAGGCATCCAATAGCCTCCCGAAACATTATCGAGAATTAGTAATACAAGTCTCAACCATCTCTTAAGGTCTTTTCGTCTAAGAGGTGTCATCTATCCTATTACGATGATTTACCCTCTACCTGATAACTTAGTTCTACTCTGCTGACAAAAGCTCTTTGTCAAGGATCAAAGTTTGACTTCCAGCCTTGACTAACCAATCGACATAACTTAGCGGACTGAGTTAATGTTGTCAATCATGTACTAGTAAAAGTCTAGCCAACTAGCAACATCAAGTCTGGCCGACCATTAGTCTTATCACACTAGGTTGACCGTT